GAAGCCACGCCAAGGCAGGCTTTTCTCAAGAGGTGTCAGATTGCATTGAGCAATCAATCAGGGCTTCCTCTTCTGCCGTCTACCAGTCACGTTGGATGATCTTCTGTGATGGGTGTGTTGGCAAGGAAGCTTATTCATTCGAAGCTTCTGCATTTGATTGCGGACTTCCTAATCTCTCTGTTTAGGTACCGCTATCTGGCACCTGGCACTATTGCTGGCTATCGTACAGCTATTGCCAGAGTTCTTGCTTGTTATGGCAGGAAGGAGATAGGTTAGTCCTCCTCTCTTTCTGCCCTAAGCAGAGGCTTTGCTCTGGATAGAGTTGTTTTTAGCGAAGAATCAGGTTCCGGGGTTCTCGCACGGTCCCATCAGGATCCTGGCGCTGACTAGCTCGGAGGAGCGAGATAAGTTGCTTTGTCCTTGTCGGGCTCTTAGGTTTTATCTTGAAAAAACCGGGGGGGGGGTGGGGGGCGGGGATCTCGATCCCGTCTGTTTTGCCCATCAAACAGGGACAACGAGATATCTCCTCCCAGTCGGTTTCCAGTTGGGTTTGCCAGGTGATTTAGTATGCTTACGAGCATTTTGATGATCTGGCTAGGGCGAGAGCGAAAGCGCGGTCTCACGAGGTCAGGGCCCTTGCTTCATCCTGGGTCCTTCTCTCAATTGGTCCTCCTTTCAGGAGGTCATGTCTGCAGCATTCTGGCAGGGCAGGGATACCTTCACAGATTTTTATCTGCGATCCCTAGCTTCCCACTCAGAAGGCCTGTATTCATTGGGACTTTTGGTGGTAGCATAGTCAGTGGCTGGGCCTCCTCGTTAGCCCCGGGCCATGTCTTTCCGTACGGCGGCATGTGGGTACACCTGCTCTTTCACAGAGAGGTTCCTTCCTTCACTTTGGCACTCTGTTCTCCCTCCCTACTACTTTGGTTGTGCTGAAGGGGCTGGCTGGCTTCTAGTCACCACTACGGTAAGACGAATTCGCAAACTAAAGTTATGGTAATTATTACTGAAATGAAATTGAGGTTTTTTAATGTAAAACCAATTTTCATGATGTAATACTTACTATAACTTTATGGAGTCCCACCCTATCCTCCCCTCTTCCTTATCTGCCTGGCTGCCCCTCTGTGGGGTACGCCATAAAGGTTATTAGAGGAAGGGAGATCACTCTGCGTTCCTGCCGTGATGGCTCATGGATCGTAGGGAAGGCGGGATTGTTTTTCTTTTGAATCTTTTGTTGTTGGGATACAAGGATGGGTGTAGGTACTGTATTTGCATACTAAAGTTATGGTAAGTATTTCATCATGAAAATTTGTTTTACATTAAAAAACCTCAAGTTTAAGAAACAAATCTGATTTTTTTGGTTACCTAAGTAGAGCTCTGGTGTTTTGGTTCTTCTTAAAAATGACATAGTTATGGGGTTGTCTTTTGAAATTTTAAAGCCCCAGTTATCCGTCCATTCCTGTATGATATCTAATGTTCTCTGTATTATTGTACCAGTGTGTGATATAACTTTACTTGTGTGCCAAATGCTGGTGTTATCGCCAAATTGAGATTGGCCACATGTGCATACATGATTATATTATGAAACAAAGTGATATGCACAATAGATTTAATATTTGATATATATACCTGTAGCAATTTCTCTCAATATCCTGTGAATGAATGTTTAATGAAATTCAATATACATGTTATTGTACCTCTGTTTTCCAGCATCCTGTCATTTGTGTAAATTATGAATTACATTGAAAGGTGTACACTGCATGGATCCCAGTTTTAAATCAGGGTGGGGGAGGGGGTTGAGAAAGAGAAACACTAAATATAGGTGTGGATAGAAATTAATGACTGACACTTACAATAATTCTATGACATGGTTTATAGCATTTAAAGTTTATCATTGGTCATGGTTATTGTTGGGTTTACATTTACAGTATCTGTCCTGTAATAAGCCTTGGGGAGCAACACATGTTCTCTGACTGCAAAGTCAGGGTTAGATCATGGACATACTATGATTTAAGGGCAAGGACCAAGAAATAGGTTTAATTTGTAGTTTTACTGCAGAACACTTTACTTGCATAAAATCATTACTAGAAACATACTTATATTCTGATAATTAATTTATTCATTTAATTTAGTCATGAATTACTGATATTTAATTACCTGTTAATTATATGTGATTGACAAGTCTCGTGTATTTACAGATATTATCACAGTGTAACAATACAGAAACTTTAACTTCATCTAGTCTAGATTTACCATCCATTAAATGTTCAGTATATACATATAATAAGGTGGGTGGTTTTTTAGCTCACCTGGCCCGAAGGTCAGTCATCTGTCAACTTTCCTATGAATCGCTGTCATGTACGCCTGAGCAGTGTGCATTGGAGAAGGGGATATAGTTTTGTATAAATTGTTGGTCTGGGTCCCCTGTGACCGGAGGGATGAGCCCAGTGGAGAAACTCTTACCATATTTCAAAAATCTATTTAGTTCTTCAGAAATTGCAGAATTTTACCTGAAGTATGCTTGCATTGGGTGAAGGGAAATAGAGCTATTATTTTAAAGTATTCCCTCTTGTAGGAAGGATAGGATTTACCCAAATTTGATATGGAGTTTTTTTTGGAAAGGATTTAATTTTGTATAAATGTATTACCCCATGGAATGGAAAGGTCATGGTCCAATAGAGGAAAATAAAATTTCTTAAAATTCTACTATTTCTGTAGGAATATTGAATTTTGTCCATATTTTGTCTAAGGCATTCTTTGGTGTAGAAGAATGTGTTTTGTATAACCTTTGGATTTGGGCTGTTTTTGGTTGGAAGGGCTGGGTCCAATAGAGAAAATACAGCAGATGCTTAAACATTTGTCTTCCTTGGTAGGAATACCTGCATCTTTTCCCTATTTAGTCTGAAGTATGCTGGAGTGAAGGGGAATAATGTTTTTGTAAATAATGAATCTCAGACCCCTAGGGCAGAAGGGGCAGAGTCCAGGGGAAATAGGGCAAATCTTCTTATGTAGGAAATCCTGGATTCTGTCCATTTTTTGGATACCCATGCCTCACTATATCTCTTAGCATTGAGACATCATAATTTTAGAAAATAATGTTTTGGAATCACATGAAAAAATCCTACATCAATTTCTCATCTGTATAAATATATCTCTCTGAAACTGTTTCAGAAATTTTCTTCATAAAATAAATATATATATATATATATATATGTATTTGATGTTAACACAGTTTGGATGTGCTGAGATTTTGAGATAAAAGATAATACAGTAATACTGTTGTACGACTGTCTCTCTATCTGTCCACATCACCATGTGCAAATAATAACTTTAGTTCTTTGGACCAATCAGTGGTGCATATTTCAGGTTATTTTTGGGGTACAAAGGTCAAAAGTCAAGGTCACTGCTAATATAAATAGAAAATTGTTCCAGATCACCATTTTCAAACAATAACACAAATTTTAATGAACCAATCAAATTTTATACTTCTTATTTACATGCACAATGTTCACTGTTTCTTAATGGGAGTACTTGCTTGGGATTGGTTTTTGAATCAAAAAGTCAGATGTCATGGTCGATGTTACCATATGAATAAAAAAAAGTTTCTGTCCAATAAATCAAGTTCTTCTCAACTGAATAAATAAAAACCAAAACTTCACATTGTGCTCCCCAACATGTACCGCCTATTTACGACTTCATTGATGTGAAAAATCATAGGTAAAGGTTACAGTTTTTGTAAATAGAAAATTTTTACCAAACAATAATTTGTGTTCCCATTGTCCGATCAATAGCCAGATGTTCACTGCTATTGATATTGGTTCTGTAACATAATTGGATAAAGTGCTACCAATTTGATTTAAATGATTGACCTAGACCCATTTTTAAGGTGTCAAATGAACTTAAAATTTCTTTTTGTACATGCAAAACCTTCAAACTACTTCTTCCAAAATACCGTAAGGCCTAGAATCATTATATATGACTGGAAATTTCCTTTGATGAAGCACAACAAAGTTTGCAAAAAGAAATGACATTGACCCATATTTAAGGTCACAGAGGTCAAATGTGTTAAAACTTTTAAACGACTTATTCCAAATACTGGAAGGCAAAGAATCGTTTTATATGGCTGGAAGGTTCCTTTGATAAGACCCACCAAAATTTGCGAAAAAGAATAACCTTGACTCTTATTGAAGGTCACAGAGGTCAAATGTGTTAAAATTTTTAAACGACTTCTTCCAAAATACCGAAAGGCCTAGAATCATTACATATGACTAAAAGGTTCCTCTGGTGAAGCCCAACAAAGTTTGTGAAAAGAAATGACCTTGACACATATTCAAGGTCACATAGGTCAAATGTGTTAAAACCTTTAGATAACTTCTCCCCAAATACCGGATACCCTAGAATCATTATATTAGGCTACTATGTTTCTGTTATGGTGTTCTACAAAGTTTGCTAAAAGAAATGACCTTGACCAATCCTCAAGGTCACAGGGGTCAAATGTGTTAAAACGTTTAAACAATTTCTTCTGAAATATCCAAAAAGCCTAGAATCATTATATTTGGCCAGTATGTTCCTTTTATGAAGTCCAAGAAAGTTTGCAAAAAATTGTGATTGGTTTATTAGATTTCATATGTGTGTATATAAAAACTCCTTTGATTGGTTGACCATGTTTCCATAGTCAAGATCACAGGGGTAAATGTTATACGTGGAATATATGCACAGATATAGTACTGTTGGTCATAAAGATCCAGGTGAGTGATACAGGCCCTCTGGGCCTCTTGTTTAGTTACAAGCTTTCCCTAGTTGATGACAAACTTGACTAGAGATAAAAAATTTAGAATTAGCCTGCTATGTAATTACACATCTAGTTAAAATTTGTTTTTACTAAATAATTTGCTTTTTCAGTGTTAACAATGTTTTGACCATAAGATACTGAACAAATGACAGATATTGTACTGTGATCCATATATAGTGTACATCATTCTGGTTTTCTGTTTTTTCAGTTGGGATGAAACACATTTTGGAAAGATGGGAAGCTGGTATATAAAGCGAACTTTCTTTTTTGACGTCCATCCACCTTTAGGAAAGGTAGAGAAGATTACAATTCTAAATCTAATGTGAGCGAGTTGAGTGATTTGTTTCTACTGGTATATTACATAGTAATGCAACCCAGTAAATGTGATTCTGAACTCTTTTGAAATGAAGGCAATTTTAGACAGTGTTTGGAACATCTCTATCAACAAGCAGACATGTCAGCAGCTATCAGATTATAATTACTGGTTGTTCATGTTCAGCAATCCCATCATTTTCTGATCTTCTTCGTATATATCCTACATAATTGCACTGAAATAGTTTGTATAATTAAGGATTTAGATCAACCTTCTTTCATTAACAGTGCTATAAGCATAGCAACGAGGATACAAATTTATGATAAAGTCTTTCTTCTAGGACAGTTTTGAATTTGTCATGTAAATATCATTGTATCACTACATTGAGGTACTTTTTAGGTCGCCTGAGCCGAAGGCTCATTGTGACCTATTGCCATCATGATTTGTCTGTCGTCGTGCGTCGTTAACTTTTCACATATTCAACTTCTCAAGAACCACTGTCGTTAACTTTTCACATATTCAACTTCTTCTCAAGAACCACTGAATGGATTTTGACCAAACTTGGCACAAAGCATCCCCATGGGAAGCTGCTTCAAGTTTGCAAAGAAAAAGGGCATGGCCCCAATAGGGGCCCCAGGAGGGGGGAAAAAGGGGGTAAAATTAGGTAAATCTTTAAAAATCTTCTTCTCATGGACCAACCGTCAGATTAAATTTATATTTGATATTTAGGGTCCTTATGGCAAGGTTTACAAAGTTTGCGAATAAAAAAAAATTGGGTCAAAAACGGCCCCACTAGGGGGTGCTCAAAAGGGTCAAAATTTCAACTTTGACCAATTTCAACCAAATTTGGTAGAAAACATCCCTTAGTGAAGGACATATGAAATTATGCTGAAAAAAGTGACTATGTCCACTTTGGGGCCCATAAGTGGTGTAAAAGGGGCCATTTGTAAAAACCTTCTTTAAATGACTTCTTCTCAAGAACCATTGGATGGATTTTGACCAAACTTGGCACAAAGCATCCTTATGGGAAGCCGCTTTAAGTTTGCAAAGAAAAAGGGTGTGGCCCTAATAGGGACTGCAGTAGGGGGAAAAGGGGGTAAAATTAGGTAAATCTTTAAAAATCTTCTTCTCATGAACCAACAGTCAGATTAAATTCATATTTAATATTTAGGGTCCTAATGGCAAAGTCTACAAAGTTTGCGAATGAAAAAAAAATCGGGTCAAAAACGGCCCCACAAGGGGGCACTCAAAAGGGTCAAAAATTCAACTTTGACCGATTTCAACCAAATTTGGTAAACAGCATTCCTTAGTGAAGGACATATGAAATTATGTTGAAAAAGTGATAATGTCCCCTTTGGGGCCCATAAGGGGTGTAAAAGGAGCCATATGTAAAAACCTTCATTAAATGACTACTTCTCAAGAACCATTGGATGGATATTGACCAAACTTGGCACAAAGCATCCGCAAGGGAAGCTGCTTCTAGTTTGCAAAGAAAAAGGGTGTGGCCCCAATAGGGGCCCCAGGAGGGGGGAAAAGGGGAAACTTGATATGAATGTTCTACACAAGGTCCTGGCAAGTGTTTTAACTTTTTGTTGGGATTCACAATCCAAAATGGCCACCCTGACCTCTGTTTGGCTAAGACATTATGGACTTCCTCTCAAGAACCATTGGATGGGTCATGTTCAAACTTGGTACAGATGTTTTACACATGGTCCTGCACAAGTGTTGTTACATTTTTGCAACATTTTGAAATCCCCAGATTATTGACATATATTCCTCAGGTGACCGTTAAGGCCCCTTGGCCTCTTGTTTCAGTTTGAGAATTTTCAAACAGCTTACCCATGTCACACTGTCATCTGCCTCCACAATCTTGCATTATATGGAAGAGATTTCTGTTTTACTCTAAGCCACAGGAATAAAAGAAGTGAAATAAGTTGTTTGTTATATAGCTTCTAGTTTGTAGAGTATAGAAAACACTTGACTATGTACCCAGGTATTTGTCCATGTGTCTATCCATCCATTCATAGTAAGATGCTTGGGTATGGAATGAAATTAACACAGACTTATCAAAAGATGTCTCATAAAAGACAATGTACTACTGTGGATTCATTTTATTTCGTGGGGGTCCAATTTTCGTTGTTTTCGTGGATGAGCAAATCCACCAATTTAAAAACACAACGAAATATGAACTACTTACTAAAGTAATTTTGAAATTTGACCAAGTAATCTTTGCCGACACCGGAAACGTCCACCGGTAATGACAGAAGCCCCGTAATTAGTCGGGAGTCGGGTAGTCTGAGGCTCGACATGGATACGCTAAATTGGTGTCAACGATATATAATTATATATTATTAAACATAACAAAGGGTAAGTACCCATTGTGATGCTAAGTATGATGGGATCGCAGTCGTTAGCGACACTGTGGACACTAGGCTTGATCGGACCATCCTGTCGATTGAAGATTGGATCCGTATTTCTATCCGACTACAGGTTCACTCACAATAATTATTAATAATGCAGATCTTGTTTACACACCTGTTTACACACATGGTCCCATCGATACGCGTGGTGTTTTCATATGACTGCGGTACACCGACTGATCAGCACATAATGTTTATCCACTGAAAACAATTGTTTCTGATAATTACCGATTGATTACACGCCAGGATATATACTGATTTGTGGTGTGATATTAATGCGAGACTGTTGTAAACAGCGTTATAAAAACACAGGACGCCATCTTGAAAAAAAAAACGTTCTTTTATTCTTGTCATTAGTGTTAATTCCTGTGAACATAGCCTTAATACAAACAGAAAAAAATTCGACTGGAAGCAAAAAGAGAAAATTCTAACGTTTTTATTTTTTTCCCACAGAATCAAAAATCCACGAATTTATGAGTCCACGAAACTGTCTAATTTGTAGAAACAACGAAAATTGAACCCAACGAAAATAAATGAATCCACAGTATTTATAATTCAGTGCTAACTGAAATTAGGAATTTTGAGTTTCTTACTAGCTTCTGTTTCTTTTAAGATGCTGATAGGTCTGTCAGGCATCCTGACTGGGTATGATGGGAAGTTTCCCTTTGAAAAACCTGGGGATGAGTATGGTGATGTCAACTACGTGGGAATGAGAGTTGTAAGTCAAGGATTAAAATTTTCCTGATTTTATCTAGCTAGAAATGTGTTTTATGTTAACATCTTGTGTGATTGGTTATTTGATTGACTTCAATGTAAACACTGTAAACTGAGATTGGTTGATCATGTTTTAACTTAAGTGATCGCTAATTGGTTGTTCATGTTTTATTGATATGATTTTATGTAAACTTACATGTGATTGGTTTATTAGATTTTATATGTGTGTATATAAAAACTCTTTTGATTGGTTGACCATGTTTCATATAAACTGCATTAATTGGTTGATACTGTTTTATAGAAAATGATGAAAAATAATTGGCTGACCATATTTCCATGTAACAGCAGTAATTAATTGTTAATATTTTATATAAAAACATCATGATTAGTTGATTATTAGTCATGAAAACCGCTGTGATTTGATCTGTTCAGTTCTGTGCCCTGCTCGGAGCTTCCTTAGTCCCACTGTGCTACATGTGTACTTGGCTCTTATGTCAGTCTACTTTAGCTGCTTTCTTTAGTGGATTATTAATTTTGCTTGGTAAGTTACTGTGATCTTTTCAGAAATTTTCATTTTATTGGTTAGTTTTATTTATTCTTTCCTTGTTAACCTTTTAAGAGATTTTCCTTGTTAACATTTTAAGAGATTTTCCTTATTAACCTTTTAAAAGATTTCAATAAGAAAATCAGTATCAGACCAATGTTTTTCCTAGCTGTACAGATACACGAAAAATATAATTTGATCGGTTAATACTGTTCTTCTTAGTCTCCTAACCTTGTCTTAAGAGATTTATCCTTTAGTGATGTTAGTCTGAAGATCCACCATATATCCTCCTTCTATTTGCTACAGATACAGGTACCCTGGCCTTGTCACGATTTATCCTGCTGGATCCGATATTGCTGTTTTTTATAATGATGTCTACATATTCAGTGTTGAAGTTCATGTCTTACAAAGAACAGTAAGTATGTTAGAAATGTAGATAAAACTTGGAGAAGTACATACATATTTCTTTCAATACAACTTTCAAATGTCCTACATTCTAACCCGCCCTATTAAGGAATGACAATTCAGAATATTTGTCCAAACTTTAGACCTGAATCATCAAGACATTTCCAAAATTATATCGGATCATTTGCCTGACAAGGCGGGTTGTCTGTGGGTATTTTGGATCCCTTGAACAATAAGAATTCCCTAACATACCCATCCCATCCAATTTAATTATCAGATGGGATGGTCTGCTTTTAAATTTCTTATATCATAAATGAAGTTTAAGAAAGAATGATATATGATATTGTATTATATGATTAAATGTTTGTTGGTTTTGTTTTTATTACAGTCCGTTCAGTGTTCAGTGGTTCTACTGGCTGACTGTCACTGGGATATTCTTGTCTGCTGCAATAGGGTAGGTCTGTGGGTGTATCACTGAGATATCCTTGTCTGCTGCTATAGGGTAGGTCTGTGGGTGTAGCACTGAGATATCCTTGTCTGCTATAGGGTAGGTCTGTAGGTGTATCACTGAGATATCCTTGTCTGCTATAGGGTAGGTCTGTGGGTGTATCACTGAGATATCCTTGTCTGCTATAGGGTAGGTCTGTGGGTGTATCACTGAGATATCCTTGTCTGCTATAGGGTAGGTCTGTGAGTATATCACTAAGATATCCTTGTCTGCTATAGGGTAGGTCTGTGGGTGTATCACTGAGATATCCTTGTCTGCTGCTATAGGGTAGGTCTGTGGGTGTATCACTGAGATATCCTTGTCTGCTATAGGGTAGGTCTGTGGGTGTATCACTGAGATATCCTTGTCTGCTGCTATAGGGTAGGTCTGTTGGTGTATCACTGAGATATCATTGTCTGCTATAGGGTAGGTCTGTGGGTGTATCACTGAGATATCATTGTCTGCTATAGGGTAGGTCTGTGGGTGTATCACTGAGATATCCTTGTCTGCTGCTATAGGGTAGGTCTGTGGGTGTATCACTGAGATATCATTGTCTGCTATAGGGTAGGTCTGTGGGTGTATCACTGAGATATCCTTCTCTTCTATAGGGTAGGTCTGTGGGTGTATCACTAAGATATCCTTGTCTGCTGCTATAGGGTAGGTCTGTGGGTGTAGCACTGAGGTAAGGGTACAGAAGGTATGTTAATGAATGAAAGAATGAACTAATGAATGAATGAATGAATGAATGAATGATAGGATAAGCGTACAGAATTTATTTTAATGAATGATTGAATGCTATGAAAAGACCATGTAGGTATGATGTAAGATTAGATCCATATTTATATTCGGAATACAAATGATTTGAATGTTTGTGAATGAAAGAACAATAATTGACTCAGACAAGATGTATACAGAACATATGTGTGAAAATCTTGTGAAGATGAGTGAATTAATTAAATGAATTATTGATGAACTATTGAGTGAAATGTGATTGATTTGAGAGTATATCTGAAAACAAATATTACAACTGAATGTTATGTATACATGGTGTGTAGTGCGTGAAAGCCCTACTGGTTAATCACTTGGCCCCAACAATGAGCACTCTCCCAACTGAATCTGGAAAATCAGTGTGAAAAAAAGGCTAGAAATTTAACAGAAAAGTGTTAAAACATTAAAATATGACTAGTGTCAGAATGATTTATCAAATACCTAGATATCTAATCTACCTTTAAACTTTGGGATTAATATGGTGTTTACTGCCTTTGTTTTCAGAGTGAAGTTTGTCGGTTTGTTTGTGATATTACTGGTTGGATTTACAACGATACTCGACCTGTGGAGATTGCTTGGAATCAAATCCAACACTATTGTAAGTTGTTACACTATTGATTCAGCATAGTTCCTGAATCTTTAGTCTCCAATCATTGATATTTGATGTTTTGGACTTTTTATTGCTTTATCACGATAAAAATAAGATGGAAAAAGTTCAGAGCATCGTAACAATAGTACTGACAGACAGATAAGAGATTGATGATCGTTTTGATGGATAAGACGACATAGCACCAGTGCTGGCCATTGTCAAATATCTTGCATGGTTACTGGTAATTGTATTTGAGACTGATGAATGAACAGTCTAAAATCATTGCAGACACTTGCCCATTGGGCCTTTTGGAAACTACCTTAATTATGGCAGATATTGATCACAAAAGTTGTCTTATTGACCGGTCAGAATTTATACTCAAATAGCCACCAGCAAAGTATTCTTTTGAATTTTTCATCTTAAACATCAAAGGGTTGAAGTTTCATTTGATAATTTCTCTTAAGGACTGGCGACATTCATAATGTCAACTAAATGGCATGCAATGTTTCAGGTGGATCTGACCAAACACTTTGTTGCTCGAGCAATGTGCCTTATAGCTTTACCAATAGTCATGTATATGGTTTACTTCTCCATCCACTTTCTGGTGCTAAACGAAAGGTAAGTAATGGCTGGTTTTGTTGGGTAAGGATTAACAAACAGTAAGTTAGATTAATTCTATTTTAAAAAAGAGGTATTTGATCCTTGTACATAATTCAATTTTATTTCTTATCAAATTTATTCAGATATACTAAATATCAAGGATTTTTCGAACATATTTTGTTTTTGTGAATTTAATGGCCCTTTCAAAATGGCAAAAAAATTAAATTGTGATATTGCATGTTTTCTTCTTTTTATTGTGAATTTGTGAGTAATAATCTACAGTGTTGACATACCTGCATGCACCTGGCACTTTCTAGTCGTGAATACTTCTACAATAAATAAAAATTTGTCAGTATGTAAATTTTTTATTTAGTATGTTACATATTGGGATTTTTGTAAGAATTACACAGTGCAAAAACATCCCAATATTCAATCAATTTCATACATCATATTTAAATGCTTTGTTATTTTTCCAAATCTGTCTGTGCTCTTTTATGTAATATTGGATGGTTCTCCTTTTTACTATATTTTGATGAGTTTTTACTTTGAATATGGACCTAACCTTGAGTCAAACACAGGAAAATTATATAAAACATTTTCTTCACACTGGTAAGCAATGAAAATCTATTGATTGACAGAATTTGCCCAGATACTGATGACTTAATGTTTGTTTCTTTTGGTAGTGGTAATGGAGATGGATTTTTTAGCTCTGCCTTCCAGTCACAGCTCAAGGGAAACAAGCTTTACAATGCCAGCATGCCAGAAAGTATGTAAGATGTTAGTGGTTATCATAATACAGGCTTCTGATATGGTAGCAATGATTTATTTGTACATGTACGGAAACATTTGGTGATGATAACAAATGATGTTAGATTTGTTATTGTGTACAATAGAAATGGAGGGTGTGATTCTCTGGTGAGTGTTAGTTTACTTTTTGGTGATTTAAGTTATGGTAGATTTGTTATAGGGTATAGTAGAAATGGAGGGGAGGGTGTGATTCTCTGGTGAGTGTTAGTTTACTTTTTGGTGATTTAAGTTATGGTAGATTTGTTATAGGGTATAGTAGAAATGGAGGGTGTGATTCTCTGGTGAGTGTTAGTTTACTTTTTGGTGATTTAAGTTATGGTAGATTTGTTATAGGGTGTCGTAGGGGAGGGTGTGATTCTCTGGTGAGTGTTAGTTTACTTTTTGGTGATTTAAGTTATGGTAGATTTGTTATAGGGTGTAGTAGGGGAGGGTGTGATTCTCTGGTGAGTGTTAGTTTACTTTTTGGTGATTTAAGTTATGGTAGATTTGTTATAGGGTATAGTAGAAATGGAGGGTGTGATTCTCTGGTGAGTGTTAGTTTACTTTTTGGTGATTTAAGTTATGGTAGATTTGTTATAGGGTATAGTAGAAATGGAGGGTGTGATTCTCTGGTGAGTGTTAGTTTACTTTTTGGTGATTTAAGTTATGGTAGATTTGTTATAGGGTATAGTAGAAATGGAGGGTGTGATTCTCTGGTGAGTGTTAGTTTACTTTTTGGTGATTTAAGTTATGGTAGATTTGTTATAGGGTATAGTAGAAATGGAGGGGAGGGTGTGATTCTCTGGTGAGTGTTAGTTTACTTTTTGGTGATTTAAGTTATGGTAGATTTGTTATAGGGTATAGTAGAAATGGAGGGGAGGGTGTGATTCTCTGGTGAGTGTTAGTTTACTTTTTGGTGATTTAAGTTATGGTAGATTTGTTATAGGGTATAGTAGAAATGGAGGGTGTGATTCTCTGGTGAGTGTTAGTTTACTTTTTGGTGATTTAAGTTATGGTAGATTTGTTATAGGGTATAGTAGAAATGGAGGGTGTGATTCTCTGGTGAGTGTTAGTTTACTTTTTGGTGATTTAAGTTATGGTAGATTTGTTATAGGGTATAGTAGAAATGGAGGGGAGGGTGTGATTCTCTGGTGAGTGTTAGTTTACTTTTTGGTGATTTAAGTTATGGTAGATTTGTTATAGGGTGTAGTAGGGGAGGGTGTGATTCTCTGGTGAGTGTTAGTTTACTTTTTGGTGATTTAAGTTATGGTAGATTTGTTATAGGGTATAGTAGAAATGGAGGGGAGGGTGTGATTCTCTGGTGAGTGTTAGTTTACTTTTTGGTGATTTAAGTTATGGTAGATTTGTTATAGGGTATAGTAGAAATGGAGGGGAGGGTGTGATTCTCTGGTGAGTGTTAGTTTACTTTTTGGTGATTTAAGTTATGGTAGATTTGTTATAGGGTATAGTAGGGGAGGGTGTGATTCTCTGGTGAGTGTTAGTTTACTTTTTGGTGATTTAAGTTATGGTAGATTTGTTATAGGGTATAGTAGAAATGGAGGGGAGGGTGTGATTCTCTGGTGAGTGTTAGTTTACTTTTTGGTGATTTAAGTTATGGTAGATTTGTTATAGGGTGTAGTAGGGGAGGGTGTGATTCTCTGGTGAGTGTTAGTTTACTTTTTGGTGATTTAAGTTATGGTAGATTTGTTATAGGGTGTCGTAGGGGAGGGTGTGATTCTCTGGTGAGTGTTAGTTTACTTTTTGGTGATTTAAGTTATGGTAGATTTGTTATAGGGTATAGTAGAAATGGAGGGGAGGGTGTGATTCTCTGGTGAGTGTTAGTTTACTTTTTGGTGATTTAAGTTATGGTAGATTTGTTATAAGGTGTAGTAGGGGAGGGTGTGATTCTCTGGTGAGTGTTAGTTTACTTTTTGGTGATTTAAGTTATGGTAGATTTGTTATAGGGTGGTAGGGGAGGGTGTGATTCTCTGGTGAGTGTTAGTTTACTTTTTGGTGATTTAAGTTATGGTAGATTTGTTATAGGGTATAGTAGAAATGGAGGGTGTGATTCTCTGGTGAGTGTTAGTTTACTTTTTGGTGATTTAAGTTATGGTAGATTTGTTATAGGGTATAGTAGAAATGGAGGGGAGGGTGTGATTCTCTGGTGAGTGTTAGTTTACTTTTTGGTGATTTAAGTTATGGTAGATTTGTTATAGGGTGTAGTAGGGGAGGGTGTGATTCTCTGTTGAGTGTTAGTTTACTTTTTGGTGATTTAAGTTATGGTAGATTTGTTATAGGGTATAGTAGAAATGGAGGGGAGGGTGTGATTCTCTGGTGAGTGTTAGTTTACTTTTTGGTGATTTAAGTTATGGTAGATTTGTTATAGAGTATAGTAGGGGAGGGTGTGATTCTCTGGTGAGTGTTAGTTTACTTTTTGGTGATTTAAGTTATGGTAGATTTGTTATAGGGTGTAGTAGGGGAGGGTGTGATTCTCTGGTGAGTGTTAGTTTACTTTTTGGTGATTTAAGTTATGGTAGATTTGTTATAGGGTGTCGTAGGGGAGGGTGTGGGTGAGTGTTAGTTTACTTTTTGGTGATTTAAGTTATGGTAGATTTGTTATAGGGTGTAGTAGGGGAGTGTGGTGAGTGTTAGTTTACTTTTTGGTGATTTAAGTTATGGTAGATTTGTTATAGGGTATAGTAGAAATGGAGGGGAGGGTGTGATTCTCTGGTGAGTGTTAGTTTACTTTTTGGTGATTTAAGTTATGGTAGATTTGTTATAGGGTGTAGTAGGGGAGGGTGTGATTCTCTGGTGAGTGTTAGTTTACTTTTTGGTGATTTAAGTTATGGTAGATTTGTTATAGGGTATAGTAGAAATGGAGGGTGTGATTCTCTGGTGAGTGTTAGTTTACTTTTTGGTGATTTAAGTTATGGTAGATTTGTTATAGGGTATAGTAGAAATGGAGGGGAGGGTGTGATTCTCTGGTGAGTGTTAGTTTACTTTTTGGTGATTTAAGTTATGGTAGATTTGTTATAGGGTGTAGTAGGGGAGGGTGTGATTCTCTGTTGAGTGTTAGTTTACCTTTTGGTGATTTAAGTTATGGTAGATTTGTTATAGGGTATAGTAGAAATGGAGGGGAGGGTGTGATTCTCTGGTGAGTGTTAGTTTACTTTTTGGTGATTTAAGTTATGGTAGATTTGTTATAGGGTATAGTAGAAATGGAGGGTGTGATTCTCTGGTGAGTGTTAGTTTACTTTTTGGTGATTTAAGTTATGGTAGATTTGTTTTAGGGTATAGTGAAATGGAGGGGAGGGTGTGATTCTCTGGTGAGTGTTAGTTTACTTTTTGGTGATTTAAGTTATGGTAGATTTGTTATAGGGTGTAGTAGGGGAGGGTGTGATTCTCTGGTGAGTGTTAGTTTACTTTTTGGTGATTTAAGTTATGGTAGATTTGTTATAGGGTATAGTAGAAATGGAGGGTGTGATTCTCTGGTGAGTGTTAGTTTACTTTTTGGTGATTTAAGTTATGGTAGATTTGTTATAGGGTATAGTAGAAATGGAGGGGAGGGTGTGATTCTCTGGTGAGTGTTAGTTTACTTTTTGGTGATTTAAGTTATGGTAGATTTGTTATAGGGTGTAGTAGGGGAGGGTGTGATTCTCTGTTGAGTGTTAGTTTACCTTTTGGTGATTTAAGTTATGGTAGATTTGTTATAGGGTATAGTAGAAATGGAGGGGAGGGTGTGATTCTCTGGTGAGTGTTAGTTTACTTTTTGGTGATTTAAGTTATGGTAGATTTGTTATAGGGTATAGTAGAAATGGAGGGTGTGATTCTCTGGTGAGTGTTAGTTTACTTTTTGGTGATTTAAGTTATGGTAGATTTGTTATAGGGTATAGTAGAAATGGAGGGGAGGGTGTGATTCTCTGGTGAGTGTTAGTTTACTTTTTGGTGATTTAAGTTATGGTAGATTTGTTATAGGGTGTAGTAGGGGAGGGTGTGATTCTCTGGTGAGTGTTAGTTTACTTTTTGGTGATTTAAGTTATGGTAGATTTGTTATAGGGTGTAGTAGGGGAGGGTGTGATTCTCTGGTGAGTGTTAGTTTACTTTTTGGTGATTTAAGTTATGGTAGATTTGTTATAGGGTGTGAGGGTGTGATTCTCTGGTGAGTGTTAGTTTACTTTTTGGTGATTTAAGTTATGGTAGATTTGTTATAGGGTGTAGTAGGGGAGGGTGTGATTCTCTGGTGAGTGTTAGTTTACTTTTTGGTGATTTAAGTTATGGTAGATTTGTTATAGGGTATAGTAGAAATGGAGGGTGTGATTCTCTGGTGAGTGTTAGTTTACTTTTTGGTGATTTAAGTTATGGTAGATTTGTTATAGGGTATAGTAGAAATGGAGGGGAGGGTGTGATTCTCTGGTGAGTGTTAGTTTACTTTTTGGTGATTTAAGTTATGGTAGATTTGTTATAGAGTATTGTAGGGGAGGGTGTGATTCTCTGGTGAGTGTTAGTTTACTTTTTGGTGATTTAAGTTATGGTAGATTTGTTATAGGGTGTAGTAGGGGAGGGTGTGATTCTCTGGTGAGTGTTAGTTTACTTTTTGGTGATTTAAGTTATGGTAGATTTGTTATAGGGTAGTAGAAATAGGGGAGGGTGTGATTCTCTGGTGAGTGTTAGTTTACTTTTTGGTGATTTAAGTTATGGTAGGGGAGGGTTTGTTATAGGTGTAGTAGGGTGATTTAAGTTATGGTAGGAGGGTGTGATTCTCTGGTGAGTGTTAGTTTACTTTTTGGTGATTTAGATTTGTTTATGGTAGGGTGATTTGTGTTAGTTTACTTTTTGGTGATTTAAGTTATGGTAGATTTGTTATAGGGTGTAGTAGGGGAGGGTGTGATTCTCTGGTGAGTGTTAGTTTACTTTTTGGTGATTTAAGTTATGGTAGATTTGTTATAGGGTATAGTAGAAATGGAGGGGAGGGTGTGATTCTCTGGTGAGTGTTAGTTTACTTTTTGGTGATTTAAGTTATGGTAGATTTGTTATAGGGTGTAGTAGGGGAGGGTGTGATTCTCTGGTGAGTGTTAGTTTACTTTTTGGTGATTTAAGTTATGGTAGATTTGTTATAGGGTATAGTAGAAATGGAGGGGAGGGTGTGATTCTGGTGAGTGTTAGTTTACTTTTTGGTGATTTAAGTTATGGTAGATTTGTTATAGGGTATAGTAGAAATGGAGGGGAGGGTGTGATTCTCTGGTGAGTGTTAGTTTACTTTTTGGTGATTTAAGTTATGGTAGATTTGTTATAGGGTATAGTAGAAATGGAGGGGAGGGTGTGATTCTCTGGTGAGTGTTAGTGTACTTTTTGGTGATTTAAGTTATGGTAGATTTGTTATAGGGTGTAGTAGAAATGGAGGGGAGGGTGTGATTCTCTGGTGAGTGTTAGTTTACTTTTTGGTGATTTAAGTTATGGTAGATTTGTTATAGGGTGTAGTAGGGGAGGGTGTGATTCTCTGGTGAGTGTTAGTTTACTTTTTGGTGATTTAAGTTATGGTAGATTTGTTATAGGGTATAGTAGAAATGGAGGGTGTGATTCTCTGGTGAGTGTTAGTTTACTTTTTGGTGATTTAAGTTATGGTAGATTTGTTATAGGGTATAGTAGAAATGGAGGGGAGGGTGTGATTCTCTGGTGAGTGTTAGTTTACTTTTTGGTGATTTAAGTTATGGTAGATTTGTTATAGGGTATAGTAGAAATGGAGGGGAGGGTGTGATTCTCTGGTGAGTGTTAGTTTACTTTTTGGTGATTTAAGTTATGGTAGATTTGTTATAGGGTGTCGTAGGGGAGGGTGTGATTCTCTGGTGAGTGTTAGTTTACTTTTTGGTGATTTAAGTTATGGTAGATTTGTTAAACAGTTTTGTTGAAGTGAAGGAGAGGGGCTGATTTCCTGACCAGTTTAATGCTTTAGTTGATGTATGATTTCATTGAATGGTCTTTGTCATCCTCAACAAGAATATGAAATATGCAAATTAGTATAATAAAATTGTCTGTTTCTTAGAATATGTGCATGTCAGGCTCTTATTGTACGAAGGGAGATAACTTGTACATGAATACAGTAAACAATATCTTCACATTTTTATTAAAATTAGTTGTTACATGGCTGTGAACTTAGTAATATAAGATTGAAAATATCTGTTTTTGTTAAAGAAAACAACATTTTATTCCCAGTTGTGTATTTCATATAACTGACTATATATATAATAACTTCTGTACACATCGTCACATCATTCTAAAATTTTAAAAATTCCTCTTTTTTTTTAGTAGAATATATTAAATCACAATGTTATATAAAAAATTTTGATGTGAATTTGACACCTTCCACTGTGTAACAGATATAGCATTTGGGAGCATAGTGACATTAAAACAGAGACGTACTGGAGGGGCCTATCTTCACTCTCACTGGCACCTGTACCCTGAGGAGCATCCTCCTCGCCAACAACAGGTAAAAACAAAATAATAGGTTGTTGTCATATATATTATGTAATATCAAGTACAGACATCTTATAAAGCCTTTCAAACATCTCCCATCAAAGCTGACACAGGTACAAATCCCCAGCCCTTTTCATATCTACACACACCCCCTTGGATACAGCTGACCGAGCACACTCAGTCATTTGGACATAACCAGGAAATTTTTACCTGAGACAAGGTGACGCCTGAATGTTCGACACCAAAAAGGAAATTTTGTTAGAATTGAAAAGGGATAGACCAAAAATTATTTTCAGCACAAGCACATTATTCAACTCAACAGTGTTTGCATCATCCAAGTTTAATTTACTTAGATAAAGAAGGGGAAAAATAGGGAACCAAACAAAACATTTGACTTAACTGATGTATTCAATTCAAGGGTATTTGACACAAGCAAGTTATTCTGTATATTATACACCAATCCCCCTAAAAAATTCCCTCTTGACAACAAGGGTAAGTTTATTTACTCCAAAAATTACCTTCATTTTCAAATGGAAATACTGCTTTTTATCTCATTTCTTGTCTTAGATTTTTAATCTTGTCTTCAGAACTTTTAATGGATTTCTGTGATTAATAATTCAAATCCCCGATTCACTGGTCTGTGAAACTGTACACAAGTAGAATTCTCTTACTTTGATAATTTGTTGGTTTTGATATACAATGATATAAAAATATCTTGGAATTTTCACTGACTTTAAGAAATTTAAGATCATAAATTGCACATGTTAAAATATTTTTTAAAATATTGAGCCACTTAATTTTCTAGATAACCTCCTATACCCACAAAGATGATAACAACAAATGGTTAGTAAAGCCATCAGACCATGATGTAGAGGAGGCAGAGGAGCCACAGATTGTACGAAGTGGTGACCTCATCAGACTGGAGCATGTAGGGTAGGCCTTAATTAATAACCTTATCAGTCTTCATATCAACAGAATATTCCTGTTATTTCTGAGTACACTTTAAGGAGAAGAGACTTTATCAGTCTTCATACCTACAAAATATTCCTGTTATTTCTGAGTACACTTTAAGGAGAAGAGACTTTATCAGTCTTCATACCTACAAAATATTCCTGTTATTTCTGAGTATAACTTAAGGAGAAGAGACTTTATCAGTCTTCATACCTACAAAATATTCCTGTTATTTCTGAGTATAACTTAAGAAGAAGAGACTTTATCAGTCTTCATACCTACAAAATATTCCTGTTATTTCTGAGTATAATTTAAGAGGAAGGAAAACTTATCAGCTTCATACCTACTAAATATTCCTGTTATTTCTGAGTATAATTAAAGGGGAAGGGAAACAGCATTTACCAGGTAGTCTTTTGATCGACAATATCTGAGGGTTTTGTATCAAATGTAGTATTTGTGAAAAGGCAGGCCTAAAAGTGAAAATAAATTTGTTTTCGTAGAGACAAAAATGATTGAGTTGTAATTAAATATTCATTTCAATTCACTCATTATGAACTATTAAAAGTTAATATGTAAGTTAAATTAAACTATCCAAAACTGTATTCTACTGGACATAAGTCAGACGTGTTGTCCAGAAGCCAGAACATACTTTCTGTTAATAATCTATCACACATGTCCAGTATACATTCGCTCCCGGGTTAATTACATAAGCTTACCAATACCGTCTAGCAGGACAGGTCAGCAAAACCTTAGCTTGTCGTAAACCACCTAATCTACCACTATGTGTGTGCATTAGACCATGTAAATAACTCATGTGTTATCCACTTCTTGTTAGCAAATATGTAATATTAGATTATCAATGTCTACGACTTTTAGTATAAATACGACTAGGTTTCTAGCCAGTCGTCGAATCGGTTCCTGAAGGCATGCGAGTGTACCACCTCTCCATGTCTACACACAATAAATTTACATCAACCTGAACAGCGTTTGGATTTCTTCATCTCCACTCAACACTGCACCACTCTTCATTCTCAACAAAGAAGTTCACCCACTACACTTTATCGGACACCACATCACTTTATTGGTCCCGTGACTTCACTTTATTGGTCTCGTGACACCACTTCACTTTATTGGTCCCGTGACTTCACTTTATTGGCGCCGTGACCTCGGACACCGCTTCACTACGATCACCGGTCATTTGTAAGGTAAGTGAATTGATTTTTATCTTTTTATCCGTAGAAACATTTGAACCTAAGTCATTTTTTTTTACTTACTTATTAATATATACATATATACATACATGTTTCTTTTATTATAATAAGTCTTTTTCTAAATCTATAATGGAAGAAAATCAACACACCCAATCTTCAACTGAATATGCCATCCAGTTACTTAAAGCTGTAGATTGTGCCATGATAGAAAATACACAATTCCCATCACAAATACACACAGCTCCTTACAACACACACACTTACACATGTAGAGATGAAGAACCAATAGAAATAGACGCTACACAGGTAAGATCCATAAACACTTATACGCATGACAACAGAAATTCACACTCCACAGGAACTCGACCACAGAAACATACCACAAGTCACAAATCACAATATCACACTTACCCAGATCAACAGTCTACATACCGACACCATCATAATCCCTCTGGTCACCAGACTTCTTACGCAACAAATTCACACAAGTCTACACAACACTATCGCCACAGGGGTACAAACAACCATCACAGACACCCAAAGCCACAATCATATCATTACAACACAACAAGTATTAAATATTTCATTTAGTTCTTTATGGAAGCCATTCCAAGATAAATTTCCAAACTATTCTAATGTTACTATTCCACATAAGTTACAAACAATGGAAAAAATACCAATGAAATCTTTAATTCAGCAACTATCAGAAATTGAACCATTTGAAAGTAATCTTTGGGATTATAAACAGTATTTTATTCCTATTTTCACGTGTTTAGGCTTAGTTTTAGTATTTTTTAGTATATTTTGTGTATGGTTCAAATGTTTCTTGCGGAAAAAGACAAAACGTCAATTTACGAAATCGAACGCCATTGACCAAAATGATCAAGACGGACACAAACCAAAATATTCCAGTCCAGCGGATGTAGCAGAAATACAACTAACACAGCCGTTGATGCCACCCATGTATCCAGCACAGCTCTATCCACGCCTACAAAACATACTTCCACCACCAAGAATTGAAGAAGAGCCAGTGTAGAAATATTCATCAAACATGTTGACATTTACATTTATTTTTCGTTTAATTTCGCCGTTTTGTCCTCTCGTCAAAAGAGACACTATTTCCAACATCATCCTTATTTTACAAGTTTTTCTACTATGGAGAGTTTACTTTACGTGATATTCAACATGGAATGACCATTGTTTTCTTAAACTCTACCATAATGTGTTTGAGACAGAGTTAGTGATGTGGTTTAACACACACAAAAATGCAATTCTCTGTATCTTATACGACACATCTAGTAGAACTCAACAATATTTCGACGCACAGGAATCATCCGATGCAGTCTAATGCCGGAAAGACAGAAGAAGTCTTCGTTTCCTGATCAGAATCGTATTTATTATTTTACCTCTAACGACGAACTTTGTATTGTTTTTTCATTAACTCTTCATCGTTTGTCTCAGCCTTTTTGTGCGAGATATCACGTCTAGACGGTAGTACGTCAACCAAGAACTTTTCGTCATTTTCATATTTACAAGACTCATCATGTGATGAACATTACTTTTATTTGGCCTCTTCGTCAAGACTTGTGATTTCGAACCTTCGCCGTGTGGAACTATCAACTTGTGGAGTGATTGAACTGTCTTATTAATATTTCGAACTGTACTATTCATATAATAACTGTAATATCAATTTATTATTGCCTTTCGTTCTCAGTTCTTTATTAGTACACAATACTTTTATGTTTATTCTATTGCAAATATTGTAAAATTGCATGTATTACATGTAAGTTTTTATATCTAAATATTATATTGACCTCGTACATTACCTATGTATGTTACATCTTAAGTAGTATTTTATATATTTATGTCTATTAATTATAAGGAACCATCCCTTAATCGGGTAATAACAATAATTAATCTTTATGATTTACAAAAGTTTTCAATTACTAGTTTTATCAGATCTCAATGATCTATTTTTTTATTTTTTTGAAATGTTATCTTGAAATGTTACAAATTGTGCTGTTTTACATATCATTATCCTTAGAGAGTTCCAAATCAATTATGTTTTCAACATATTCACACAACTTTTATTCACATACTATTTGGAGAGTTTCGCCTAAGTGATATTACACGAGGATTTAAATGTTTAAACTCTACCATTTTATGTCAGAGTCAAAGTCAGTGACGTGGTTGTACACGCACAATATTCATATGAAAGACTTTGTTACTCATAAGACATATATACACAAATACATATTTCTATGCGGATGAAACATTCCCGATACATTGATATATCAATAACTTAATGATAAGGAACTTTCTGATTTTATTTCATTTTCTCATCAATTGTACTAGTCATAGCCTTATTGTGAGCGTGACGTCATGACTTAGCATAAAAGACGGTGGTACGTCGTAACTAAGTATATTTACATATTTTTTCATTCATTAATTGTAACACAGCACAATGAAAACATTTGTCGATAATTGAAATTTATCAAAGTCAAGCGAAAGCCTTACTATCCACTTGATTTTTTTTTCTTCTCTTCGTTTTTTATCAAAATGTACATCGTTAACAAGCAAGTTTCATGGTTATTCATGGTTTTATTACAAAGGGACGTAACGAACTATTAATATTTTCATAGATGATGTCAAAATTATAACTAATTTGAAATCAATTTTATACAAAGGGACGAATGAACTATTAAAAGTTAATATGTAAGTTAAATTAAACTATCCAAAACTGTATTCTACTGGACATAAGTCAGACGTGTTGTCCAGAAGCCAGAACATACTTTCTGTTAATAATCTATCACACATGTCCAGTATACATTCGCTCCCGGGTTAATTACATAAGCTTACCAATACCGTCTAGCAGGACAGGTCAGCAAAACCTTAGCTTGTCGTAAACCACCTAATCTACCACTATGTGTGTGCATTAGACCATGTAAATAACTCATGTGTTATCCACTTCTTGTTAGCAAATATGTAATATTAGATTATCAATGTCTACGACTTTTAGTATAAATACGACTAGGTTTCTAGCCAGTCGTCGAATCGGTTCCTGAAGGCATGCGAGTGTACTACCTCTCCATGTCTACACACAATAAATTTACATCAACCTGAACAGCGTTTGGATTTCTTCATCTCCACTCAACACTGCACCACTCTTCATTCTCAACAAAGAAGTTCACCCACTACACTTTATCGGACACCACATCACTTTATTGGTCCCGTGACTTCACTTTATTGGTCTCGTGACACCACTCCACTTTATTGGTCCTGTGACTTCACTTTAATTATTGCTTTATGTGAAGCAGGTCCAGTATAAATGGGTCATGATTGGGCAGTTTGTTTTTAAATGTGTGCTTTTTTGTTCTGTTCTTATATCTGTAACATTCAAAACTCAATTTAACAGATTCTATGACACGATTTGAACTTAAAAATAGTATTCGTATTGCAGAAATTTACATCTGAAAAAAAGAAAGAAAAACAAAATACAAAGAATGAATATTATTTTGTCTTGTTTCCCTCCAAAGTTTATAGGAAATATCAAACTCCGAAAAAAAAACAGGATACAATTTGTTGTCTTGTTCTTCTCTGAAGTTCATCAGAACAACCAAAGAATTAATATGGTTGACCCTCTCTATCCGAACCACCAAAGAATTAATATGGTTGACCCTCTCTATCCGAACAACCAAAGAATTAATTTGGTTGACCCTCTCCATCCGAACATGGTTGACCCTCTCCATCCGAACAACCAAAGAATTAATTTGGTTGACCCTCTCTATTCGAACAACCAAAGAATTAATATGGTTGACCCTCTCCATCCGAACAACCAAAGAATTAATTTGGTTGACTCCCTCCATCAGAACAACCAAAGAATTAATTTGGTTGACCCTCTCGTACTCTGCATGGTACTCTATCTGAACCATTAAGCCCTTGTACCACAATCTTTGACTGACTTGTATAGATCTCTTGCTTATAGTTCAAGTGCATGTATTTGATATACATTTGTACCTTGTTATCTCGAACATTGGAATCGTAGGAAAACTTTGAGATAATTGAGTATTCAATTTAAGTGAGTTTGAATGTTTGGTGTAAAGTTTGGCAGGGACTGATGAAATGCTTCAAATTAACCAGGTCTTATGAAGTTATATGAATTTGAGATAACATGTTCAACTCTACACTGTTAATGTCTGAATCAAATTATTCGGGTTGTTTTTGACAAAATTTTGATGAAATTTCACCTTGTCGTAAAATCATGAGTAATACTGTATGTGGTTGGCTATTTCAGAACCAGAAGGAATCTTCACAGTCACAGAGAACCAGCACCCTTGACCAAACATCACTATCAATTGTCAGCTTATGGATCTGTATGTTAACACTTCCTCTTGCAAATTTACTCTCATTGTACTCACACGGCTGTACTGTCATTGTACTCACTAAGCTGTACTCTCATTGACCTCACTAAGCTGTACTCTCATTGTACTCACTAAGTTGTACTCTCTTTGTACCCACACAACTCTACTCTCATTGTACTCACTAAGCTGTACTCTCATTGTACTCACTAAGTTGTACTCTCATTGTACCCACACGACTCTACTCTCATTGTACTCACTAAGCTGTACTCTCATTGTACTCACTAAGCTGTACTCTCATTGTACTCACTAAGCTGTACTCTCATTGTACTCACTAAGCTGTACTCTCATTGTACTCACTAAGCTGTCCTGTTATTGTACTCACTAAGTTGTACTCTCATTGTACTCACTAAGCTGTACTCTCAATCTACTCACTAAGCTGTACTCTCAATCTACTCACTAAGTTGTACTCTCATTGTACTCATATGGCTGTACTCTCATTGTACTCACTAAGCTGTACTCTCATTGTACTCACTAAGCTGTACTCTCATTGTACTCACACGGCTGTACTCTCATTGTACTCACACGGCTGTACTCTCATTGTACTCACACAGCTGTACTCTCACTGTACTCACACAGCCATACTTTCACTGTTCTCACACAGCCATACTTTAATTGTACTCACACAACCATACTTTCATTGTACTCACACAGCCATACTTTCATTGTTCTCACAGCCATACTCTCATTTTACTCACACAGCCATACTTTCATTTTACTTACACAGCCATACTTTAATTGTACTCACACAGCCATACTCTCACTGTACTCACACAGCCATACTTTCATTGTACTCACACAGCCATACTCTCATTGTACTCACACAGCCATACTTTCATTGTACTCACACAGCCATACTCTCATTGTACTCACACAGCCATACTTTCATTGTACTCACATAACCATACTCTCACTGTACCCACACAGCCATACTTTAATTGTACTCACACAGCCAACTTTTATTGTACTCACACAACCATACTCTCACTGTACTCACACAGCCATACTCTCATTGTACTCACACAGCCATACTTTCATTGTACTCACACAACCATACTCTCACTGTACTCACACAGCCATACTTTCACTGTTCTCACACAGCCATACTTTAATTGTACTCACACAGCCATACTTTAATTGTACTCACACAGCCATACTTTCATTGTACTCACACAGCCATACTCTCACTGTACTCACACAGCCATACTTTCATTGTACTCACACAGCCATTCTTTTATTGTACTCACACAACCATACTCTCACTGTACTCACACAACCATACTCTCACTGTACTCACACAGCCATACTCTCATTGTACTCACACAGCCATACTTTCATTGTACTCACACAACCATACTCTCACTGTACTCAAACAGCCATACTTTCACTGTTCTCACACAGCCATACTTTAATTGTACTCACACAGCCATACTTTCATTGTACTCACACAGCCATACTCTAATTGTACTCACACAGCCAAACTTTCATTGTACTCACACAACCATACTCTCACAGCCATACTTTCATTGTACTCACACAGCCATACTTTTATTGTACTCACACAACCATACTCTCACTGTACTCACACAACCATACTTTTATTGTACTCACACAGCCATACTTTTATTGTACTCACACAACCATACTCTCACTGTACTCACACAGCCATACTCTCATTGTACTCACACAGCCATACTTTCACTGTTCTCACACAGCCATACTCTCACTGTACTCACACAGCCATACTTTCACTGTTCTCACACAGCCATACTTTAATTGTACTCACACAGCCATACTTTCATTGTTCTCACAGCCATACTTTCATTTTACTCACACAGCCATACTTTAATTGTACTCACACAGCCATACTTTTATTGTACTCACACAACCATACTCTCACTGTACTCACACAGCCATACTCTCATTGTACTCACACAGCCATACTTTCATTGTACTCACACAACCATACTCTCACTGTACTCACACAGCCATACTTTCATTGTACTCACACAGCCATACTTTCATTGTTCTCACACAGCCATACTTTCCTTTTACTCACACAGCCATACTTTAATTGTACTCACACAGCCCTACTCTCACTGTACTCACACAGCCATACTCTCACTGTACTCACACAGCCATACTCTCACTGTACTCACATTCATGCCACATTGTGTACTGATAAACTGTACTTTGACTCAAGTAAAACTTAACATAAAACTTCTATTTCAATGCAATAGTGACAGTTTTTTGTTCTTTGTGTATAGTGCTATTGATAAATGGAAAAATTTATCAAAATACATTTTTGTTGTGTTTTGTTACAATATACAATACATTTTATAGTAAGATATATTAAATAGTAAGCAAAATCATCATTGCCTGGAATGTAAAAATGGGTCTGATAATCAGTATGATCAGGCTGCACTAGATACATTGTTTGTAAAGAGTTGTAATTTTTGTCGCTCAGTATAATAAATAATATAGCACTGTTTGATTGTGTGTTAACAGAATGGAACTGGTGATTCCAATGACATATGGATGATAGATGTTCCTGGCTACCCCATCGGGACCCCCATACAGACAGCTAGATCAAAGTTCCGATTGATACACTATTATGTTCGCTGTGCTGTTTGTTCTGGAGATAAGAAACTGCCAAAGTGGTATGTAATGATATGATATTGTAGCCTTATAATAATCATATGTTTTATAAACTCAGACATATATCATCAGCTTTAACACCTTTCTTCTCACAACAGACTAACTGTGGTTTTTCCTGCAATAAAGTGAAAGTAGTAAATTCACTTATGTTTTAATTATATTTATTAGGTTTATGTATTTAATAAAAAGTAATTCATCTCCATAAGCCTGATTGAATAAAAGAATAAAAGGCTGATAAAGAAATAAATTTGTTGTGTGATGACATAATTTTAGTATCTTACGAGATAAAAGATATAAATTTACATCATTTCCATGTTGTTAGGTCTTTAAGAAATTCTCACTTTTGTTGAATCAAAGGTTTACTTTAAAATTAACTTTATGAAACTTACATAGTTGTAAACAATTAACAAGAAGGAGCAAGTGTAAAATCTTACTATAAAATATTTGCTTTTGTCTTCCGAAAAAAACACCTTTCTTTGTTCTTCAGATAATTAGCAAATTGAGATCACACCTAGAATAAAGATATGTAGGTGTTGAACAACACAAACTCAATCCTCCAGATTTTGTAAAATCAACTTAGTTAATCCCACCACAGATTATCATATTGTCCTGGCATCCAGATGTTACTAATCCTGTTGTCTCAATATCCTTTGTCTAGCTGAGAGTTTCACTAAATTGTACCGCTGTTGTCCATTTTTCAATGATATAGGGGCTGGGACCAGTTAGAGGCTACATGTAACCCTAACCTCAAGGACACCAATACCCTTTACAGTGTAGAGGAAGTGGATGATATCAGAAGTAAGTTATCTCCCTTTAGTTTCTGTAGCCAGAGATCTAGTCACCAGTCACCAGTCGCCCTTCCCTGATATGATCCTAATTCAAGCCTGATGGAGCTCTTTCTACAGTATTGCTTGTTTAAGTCATTTCAATGAGAACTTGATAATCATCTTAATGCATGTAGTCTCTAATCAATTGTTGGTGCTGAAAAAATTATGGGATATAAAATTATATTTTTTTATTGATTTTAAGACATAAACTGCTAATCAATATTCACACAAATAAAATTTCATACTCAGTTAAGATATTTGAAAAGATACTTAGCTGATAGCAGTGTTGAATGTTTGGTTCAATCCAACCTTTGTTTTAAATTATTATAATTAATTACCTGCTCATTTATTCAATTAAGAAGTGCCATGTAAAAAGCACCATGGATCCAAACAGACTTTACATATAAATCATTGTTTAATTTGATGTTGTCTATAATTTACATACTTGTATGTTTTAGTGCCAAATTCCAGTTTTGAGTTGTACTCTCCGACGTTCTGGGAGAAGTTTTTAGAGAGCCATGCTGTAATGACACAGGTCAGTACTAGACATAATTCACAATAACATCGAAGGTAAAAAGCTTTATAATTATCACAATGTTTTAAGTATTCTTATCTTGTGTACAATCTAAACACAGTAATATTGGGAATCATTTTAATCATATCAATAAAAGTTAGGTAAAAAATATCTGCCAGGTACTTGGAATTATCAGTGTTATGAAATTATCTGTACTAAAATGTCCCCCTGTTATTTAAACTGCTTTTTTCACAAGGAACTGCAAATGACTTTAGTCATAGTTCAACTAACCATGGCAACTGTTCTAAAAATGTCTAAAATTCAGAATACACTGCATTATGGTTTCAACTTCTTTGTACTTTCTGGATATGGATTGTCAGTAGCCCCCTTTTTTTAACTGTGGTAAAACATTTTGTCTCTCCCTAATGTCTGGACAATTTGTACAGCACTGTATCTTACTGTGGTAAAACATTTTGTCTCTCCCTAATGTCTGGACAATTTGTACAGCACTGTATCTTACTGTGGTAAAACATTTTGTCTCACCTTAATGTCTGGACAATTTGTACAGCACTATCTTACTGTGATAAGACATTTTGTCTCTTCCTAATGTCTGGACAATTTGTACAGCACTGTATCTTACTGTGGTAAAACATTTTGTCTCACCTTAATGTCTGGACAATTTGTACAGCACTGTATCTTACTGTGGTAAAACATTTTGTCTCACCTTAATGTCTGGACAATTTGTACAGCACTGTATCTTACTGTGATAAAACATTTTGTCTCACCTTAATGTCTGGGCAATTTGTACAGCACTGTATCTTACTGTGGTAAAACATTTTGTCTCACCTTAATGTCTGGACAATTTGTACAGCACTGTATCTTACTGTGGTAAAACATTTTGTCTCTCCTTAATGTCTGGACAATTTGTACAGCACTGTATCTTACTGTGGTAAAACATTTTGTCTCTCCCTAATGTCTGGACAATTTGTACAGCACTGTATCTTATTGTGGTAAAACATTTTGTCTCACCTTAATGTCTGGGCAATTTGTACAGCACTGTATCTTACTGTGGTAAAACATTTTGTCTCACCTTAATATCTGGACAATTTGTACAGCACTGTATCTTACTGTGGTAAAACATTTTGTCTCACCTTAATATCTGGACAATTTGTACAGCACTATCTTACTGTGGTAAAACATTTTGTCTCACCTTAATGTCTGGGCAATTTGTACAGCACTGTATCTTACTGTGGTAAAACATTTTGTCTCTCCCTAATGTCTGGACAATTTGTACAGCACTGTATCTTACTGTGGTAAAACATTTTGTCTCTCCCTAATGTCTAGACAATTTGTACAGCACTGTATCTTACTGTGGTAAAACATTTTGTCTCACCTTAATATCTGGACAATTTGTACAGCACTGTATCTTACTGTGGTAAAACATTTTGTCTCTCCCTAATGTCTGGACAATTTGTACAGCACTATCTTACTGTGGTAAAACATTTTGTCTCACCTTAATGTCTGGACAATTTGTACTATCTTACTGTAGTTATGATTCACAAAGTATAATATTGTTGAAATCATAACTGTATCTAAAATGCAATAATTAGTCACTTCTGTGTAATGTAGTCAGAAAAATGTCCACACCGGAGATAGACTTTTCAGTGTATTCAGAATTTGTTGGAGTTTTGGTCTTTACCCCCAGGTTGAGATTTTATTGCAATAAGCATAAGTGCTAGTAAGTAATATCGACGGTGTGGTCCAATATTGGTACTGGATTCTAACAAACAAATGTTCGTTGGATGCGTATTACTGGAATAGATATATGATCAATGAAGTAATAAGGACACTAAGGACAAGCAAATTGTCCAATTTTCTAAGCAACCTTCCCCTTTATCAAGACACAAATATTACTTAAATTGTTTAACTTTATGAAAAAATTTTATGTTCTATGTATGTGATGTAATTTTTATAGTATTGGGGTCTTGATAAAGGGGCAGATTGCCTCGAAAATTTGATGATTCACTTGTCAGTACTGTGGTTATTACTTCATTGATCATATATATGTGTGTGTTCTTACAGTTAGAAAGGATATTAAAGTGGTATTCTGAATTGTGATACAATAAGATTGTAGATATTTGAATTAAACACTAACAATAGTGACAGAATTTATACTCAATTTCATTTACTGTGATGTGGTTCCTATCACATTAAGGGGTTGTACACATCAAGACATCACTGCCATAAGTTCATTGTCTGTTGTTTGACTTACAGGGAAATAGTAACTTGAAACCTAAGGATGGGGAGATAAGTTCTCAGCCATGGCAATGGCCATTAAACTATAAGGTAGGTGAATGGGGGGAAAAAGAGAGGAAAAAATACATGAGAAAAGAAATGTGACTTTGTTGTTCTAGAAATAAGGCACAACAAACATTTATTATTGTGTTACATATTTTCTTACAAGATATGAAGTAAACATAGAAATGAAAAATAAACATGTTTTAATTTAAAAAAGAAAAACGAGAAAATATCAATATGTCAACATGATCATAATCCAAGCTCAAATTCAATAAAACTACAAGTTGTCATAAAATAGGATATTTTCATCAAAATTTTATCAAAAGGATAAAAATCAAAGCACTCCTGTCCTCAAATTTTTTTACATTTTTACTTAGTTGTAAGTTTCATTTAAGCAAATAAAACAATATTTTCTCACCATCTTGTTTATTAGGGACAGACTTTCTCTGGAAAAGAACATCGTGTGTACTTACTAGGGAACCCAGTGATATTCTGGGGCTGTCTAGCAACAAAGATTGTGTTTCTGGTGGTTTATCTGGTGTCATCCGTCAGGATTCAGAGAGGGGTTCGGTACTCCAAGGTTTGGAGAGGTACAGTGGGATAATATCATCTACAATACTTACATATGTTGACCGGATAACTCACTAAACTAGGGCTGTCTTGTCTACAGCTATGATAGTTTCACATATTATGAACATGATCAGTATTCAATCGTTTCTGTGTTTTATTTTCTTTGGTTTTACCTGGAGTGAGTAACATACATTTTGACATCAGGATATGCAACATAGATATCAACATTCATCTTCCACAATAATCTGAGAAAACAGAATCTTTTCATTTTCAGATTACCAAGAGAGGACGTTTGGGGCGTGTTGGTGGCTGATTATGGGCTGGGCTTTGCATTATCTCCCTTTCTGGCCTATGACAAGGATTTTATACTTTCATCACTACTTTCCAGCATTCCTCTTCTCAGCCATGATGACTGGTAGGTACCAGGGTCTACAAATGATAAGAAAGATAACTGATTTCTGTAACGGGGGAAAAGGAAGACTTACATTGTAATAAAAATACATACATAAAAATTGGTTCGTTTAGATGTAAATTTAGGAAAATTTCAGCATCTGATTTACAATTAATGGCTTTTAAAAACATCATTTTATTTACAAAGTAGAATAATATCATTGATTTGAACCTGAGTTTACTGGATATTTCTATTTTTTTTTTTTTTTTTTCTTTTAAGTAGATATAACTAATTATTGAAATTAGATGATGGTCAAGCAGAAGTGTCAAATTCTGTTTCTCTTGACAGGGGTAACCTTGGACTTCCTCATCACCTTACTGTGTGTGACGTTACCAGAGAACTTGACTCTCATGACTTTTCATACTTGTTTTGGACTTCTCTTGTCATCACTTGCCTACAGGTGAGCTAAATTATATAATTAAAGTATGTTGTTTTACATCCTTGATTAATTATGGGTTTAGTTACTGCTGTACTACATGTAATTTGTGTTTTATTAAGCTAAATTTTGGAGCACCAGTACCTCAGTCAGTAGAGCATTGGCCTAATAGGTGAAGATCAGGGGTACCTGGTAAGACGTTACCTACCTTTGCCTGTGTATGTTTCTCAGGAAGCTGAGAAATGGACCAGTCTGTGCTGACATGGTTGTGTCCTTGGGCATGACACTTCACCCTAATTGCTGAGGATGGCCTGTGGTGGGCCTTCTGTATGTTGTTTAGAGACTTCGCCACCAGCTACCTATCAGCTATTTCTGTAGATATTCTTTTTGTGTATCAAAGAAATTTTATCATGCAAAATCTTTACAGAATACATGTCAAGAAGCTTTTTAAAAGGAATATATGGACAAATCTTTTCCATTTTATTTCTGTTACAGTATGAAAGTATTCCCCATGTTGTATTTTAGTCTATAAATCCTGTTTCAGTTTCTACCTGTTTCATCCTATGGTGTACGGTATGTTTGGATCAATGGCTAATGAAGAGAGCAGTCAAATGTATGGACTTCGTTGGCTCAGTTCCTGGGATTTGTGAGGGAGGCTGACCATGTATTGTGTGAAGAAATCTATGAATGTTGGTATTTTGTTAAAATTCTTATATATTTTGTGAATAATTTTTAGATCTGTCCTCTGAAACAGAAAATAAGTCAAAATGATTTTAGAAATTTATGGGACCAACTTTAGGAAAAATGCAATCAGCATGTGCCTTCGTCGCCAAAGAGCAATTCAAACAGATATAATACAGATCTGATTTACCTGTCATAATTTGCTATTGTGTCACATGTCCCAAAGTTTCTTGTGGAACTGTGGTCTGGAATGTCATTAGATATCAGAGATTAGTAACGTCACAAGAGATTGTTTTATACATATACAAATGTGATAATTATGTTTTAATTTGAATTTGTTGTATATTTTAATACTGAGACTTGAAATTTCTTAAAATCAAATGCTATTGAATTGGTGTACAAGATGCAGGTATAGTTTTTATGAAATTAAAATAATAACCAACTTTCTCAGGAATGACACTGACACCAAAAAATATCAGAGAATTCATTCATTTAATAGTGATTCTTGTTAACATACTTGACATATTGGAAATCTGTTAGTAGACTTTACTGTTCCAAAAGTTTCCCTGATAACTTATAGATATTTATTAGGAAAATTGATCAGTTTGAAGTAAGGATGTATCAGCCTTATTTGATTTTTGCCGTAAGATCAGGCTGATGTGATCAGTCATGAATTACCGACTTAAAACCTGCATCATCACTTAAGTTTCTTTTTCATGATGGTTTAAAACCAAAACTATTTTATTTTTCTTTAAAATTCTTTCCTTTGTTCATAAATATCCATCTGTCCTTCCTCAGAAATGACCTTCCCTATCAGCTAATCTTTTAGATATATATCAGGGATGTCCCTGTGTATTAAGATTACATCATATGAAACAGTGAATACCTGTGTAACAGACATTTTTTGGATGGAAGGGAAAATGCTACTTAGGTTGTCTGTTGGCATATTCCTATGTCTGTTATTCTCTTCTTCTTGTGTAAAGTAATGCTAACAGGGTTACTTTCAATATCTGATAATCTTCTGCTTATGTAAAATAATAGTGTCACCATTTTCTTGTAATATCTTATTCTCCTCTACTTGTGCAAAGTAATAGTCTTATAGTGTTTTAATTAATATTCTCTCAAAATTAAGACCTGTAAATATAGGAGAACTGATATGTCCTATATCCCTATCAATGACTGTATATTCTTGTCACTAGCTCACAAATTACAACCTCATGTATAAACCTTAAAAGGAATGTACAGACATGTTATTTTTATTATAAGATGTACTTGTTTTCTCAATGTCCTCAATATTTCCAGTACTGTACTTACTCTCAGCAGTGTCCAGGAAGCTATAGTTGTCAGATTGTTTGAAATGACTTTATTCTGAATATAATAGAAAAGTTGATTGTTGTTTCCGATTCCCCAAACCAGACCAAAGTTTTATAAATTCTGATAAATATCTATTTGATCAATAAGGTAATTACTTGAAGAATTGTATAGTCAACTCATTGTCTGAACTTGTGTACTTGTGTCCATTCACACCCAGCCCCAGTCGGTAAAATGCTGGCCAATGTTATCTCAGGTGGAGGTCTGAGGTGCATAGATTTACTGGGAGTCAGGGGGTTGTTGGGACAGTAATAGATGACAAGGTACAAAATGTGAAAACCTCTCCACAGTGGACAGTAATAGATGACATGGTACAAAATGTGAAAACCTCTCCACAGTGGACAGTAATAGATGACATGGTACAAAATGAGAAAACCTCTCCACAGTGGACAGTAATAGATGACATGGTACAAAATGTGAAAACCTCTCCACAGTGGACAGTAATAGATGACATGGTACAAAATGTGAAAACCTCTCCACAGTGGACAGTAATAGATGACATGGTACAAAATGAGAAAACCTCTCCACAGTGGACATTAATAGATGACATGGTACAAAATGTGAAAACCTCTCCACAGTGGACAGTAATAGATGATGAGATACTTACGAAATACTTAACTATTTACATTAAGTAATTATGACTCAACAGAGAAAACATTTAAATTACAAAATAACAAAAATAAAATTTGGCAGTAGTGCAGTTGAAAGTTAAATACGGTATATTTCATTGATAAACATAGCTTTATTGATCAGGTTCAATTGCTTATAGGGTCAAGGGAATATTCTGTTTGTTAAATGATTAAAGATCTCATGTAAGAATGAGCGAGCTGAGTTACCTCCGTGGGTCCGCACTCTTTATTGTGATGCATGTTGATATTTCTTCCCTGAAGGAAATCAACTCTTTAACTTCTGATACAAATACTAAACAGTATCCTCTGAAAACAATCTGTTATCAGGTCACAAGACTTAGGTGATGTGTGTATAATTTTTATTGTCTGAGCGTTGAGGGTACGTGTATTTAAAGTGTTCGAAGTGGATATGACTGAAGTGTTTTTGTTAATATGTGTATGATCATATTGCAAAGTCACATATAATGACATTATGTCGTGTTTTTGTGTTGTCAAATGAAATGTAGGTTGTCTGAACTATCAAGTCTCCAGGTTTATAGTTCACATTGTATTAGTTGTAAGGGTGACAACAGGCAGTTTTATATTATATTTTGTAACCATGTTAAATCTCATTTACTTGGTAAATTGTTTTATCCATAAGATGCTTGCTTACAGCAGAGTACACCAACACTGCATCTTAATAAAATGCTTCTTATAGAAAATTGAATGATAGAAAAATGAGTGGAGAGATCAGCACATTTAACAGGAAAAGTATTTTGCCTATTTGTGACATGAAAATCTTACCAGTTTTTGTGTCAAAAAATGTCAAAATTCAAATGTGTTATACTAAATGCTGTTTCTTGTCACGCTACGATGATAACAAAAGTGCACCTATTACATTGAATTGGTCACTCTACTATACTGCTTCTGTTGTTTGTATGACTTCCTCATAAGATTGTTAATTAACAAGCTTTAATCAAAACCAATTATATATGCAACAGAAGTGAAGGAAAGCCTTCCTTATTCCCAGACCGGGAACCAGCGGGATGAAGGACTACAGGTGTGCATCTTTGTCTTCCCATGCCACACTTTAGTTTCTTCTTCCATCTGTGCAAGGCTTTGTTTGGGCCACATTTCCCCAACTATTTAACTTAATTCTAACTTTGTCCCATAATGTATGCACTTTCCTATGGTAGTCCTGGCATAGTGAAATTAGTTGGTTGTGACCTTAATATTCACCTTTGTCTTCAATCACTGACATAACACTGCTCTAACATATGTTGAATTAAAAACTCTCTTTCTTGATATTTTTTTTCAATATGTCTAATATGCTGGTGAGGAACTATGATGGATTGCTGTGGTATATTTTGTCATGATTCATCTCTGTTTCTGGTTAGAATATTTGGCAGATTCTAACGTGCCATACAGAAAGCATATCTGTTGAACATTTTATCTGTTAAAACATTAAGTTTCTTGATCAAAGTGATATTTTCTGATCATCAGGTTTGTAAAATTTCTACCTAGTCTTTAGCTTGCTTTAAGCCTCATCATCAGATACCATACTGACGTTGATCCGTTATGATACTATGATATCAGTGTAAGACGTTTGTATATTGTATATAGATGACAAATCATTATCATAATTATGAATAACATCTCTTAAATGTGAGGATGAATGTGGTATTTGACACATTGGAAATTATTTCAAGCTTTAAAAGTTATGCAAACATTTAAACAAATTTTAAATCCTGGTAAAATTTGTTGGTATAAAATATGTTTATCTTTTTATCAAATTTTTAAAATTGTTATTGTATAGTGTTTATCTATAAATTTATATCTGGTAAAGTGATTTTGGCTTGCTCCATGTACATGTATCTATCTTTAATTATGTTTTATACTCTTTACAGAATATATTTTGATGCAAACATTTCAAGTTCTATATAGTATTGCTTATCTATCTTTTTAAAGTTTTTATTTTTTGGTAAATGTGTAACACAGAAGACTAAAACAAGTTTTCTGAATCTAGAGTCCTATGATGCCTTAATATAGCAAATTATTGGTGCAATAATGTGGTGTGATGTGATTCAGCAATGTCTACAAGCAATACTAAGATATGTGAGGAATATGGAGGGCATGACACTTTAATTCAATGGCTCTGCACAGTGTGTGTTGTGCCTCCAGCATAATGTTCAGCAAGGTGTTCAGTATCTACTTCAAGAAGACAGCTAACACTCTCTCAAAGTGACCCTTGTGCTCACAGGGCTAGCAAACTTATCAAGGAAAAGTTTAAATGAAATTTATTATAGTCTTCATAACATTTCAATTCTGTTGCATAAAAACATATTCTATCAATGCTATCCATGTATATGAAAATCCAGAAAAAAAATTCTAAAATATATAATTAGCATAAAACTAAACAAAATTATGTTGACAGGATGTTTATGAAATATTTTCAATATTAATATCATATCTGCACTGGGCATACCAGCAACTGTATATTAAATATTCACATTTTATACAGGTTTTGGTTCAATTCCATAACAACAAGCATCGCCTACATCTGTGACAAATGTTTTTGTTGTGTGATGACTGCTACAGTCACAGCTGGTTGCAGAACAAAGCCAAGCGATCATTTTTACCTACTCCGCTACTGTACATATGGTCGTAAGCCTGCTCAAACAAGATTTAACAGTTCTTGTTCTCGAGACATTGTAAAGTCAGGCTAGGTTATCACCATGTCTCCTACCTTGTATGTTATGACAGTGATTTCTTGTCAACTCTGGCAGGTTGATATGTCTCTTATCTGGAAATGTTTGCGTTTGAAGCTACTAGTCATATATATGTTGTTTTTTTACTTCCTTTTCTATGATCAGAACAAAAATTAGGACTATACATTTCATGTTTTGAATTTTTATTTGCATTTATTTGATGTAAATTTATCATATATGGTTTAAGGTCTAATTTTTACATATACAACATCAGGGTTCTCAAAGTGTAATCTCCAGGTG